ACAAGAAACAACTAGTGATAGCAGCCAAACGGTGGATTGTTGGCAAATAACTTTGCCTTTTTCCAACGGAGCTGGTCGATTTCCACCCGCAAAACTGCGACCGACCACATGAAAATTGGTCAGTTCTGAAATGTAAAGTAATTCGCGAATTCAGTGAGTAACGAACATAGAAACTATAATTTACTATAGATTCTCTGCAGTCTGCAAAAGATATGCTACTATCCCTCTAAATACTGGAACTTTACCATAAAAACACGTTAGCGGAAGATAACATCTTGCCACTGAACACTGAGAAGCCCAAGAGGTCAGTACAATAATCTTACTAACATTTCTTAGAGGTGCATTGAAGCGTAAAGAAGGATTTACTTTACACTTCAGTAGACATCCATGTTGTCGAGATGCAGGCTGGTAATAGCCACGTACAATATCGGAAATTTCCGCTTTTCAACAGAGTCGCCTCGCCAATTGTCAAGTACGTTTCATTACTATTTAGATGTTAGTAAAGTAGTTCGACGCAATTGGATACATCACCGTCAACATTAGAATCTAAGCACGTAGGCTGTGCTCCAGCGGCCCAGTAAGTCACCTGTACGATCAAGTGAAGTTTTTCAGATTTTATAGGTTGTATACAATTATGTAGAACATGTATTCAGTTATTACTGACTTGAATACAATGTGGCACAACATGTCGTCAGCTATTACTGACTTGAGTACAAATGCAAAGCTGCTACTAGCGAAGTTCAGTGAATGCGGACATTCGCATCAATTCGACTGCCGACTGTCAAGTCAGCAGTTCACTTTGTCATCTGAAGAGGAACTGCAGATGCTGGACACTGGCTTGAAGCAGAAAGAAACCATGGACAGATTTGTAAGTCAACAACATTAATTTTATAAATTTTTTGTATTACAGATGGCCATGGTAACGTGGTTAATGGGTAATGATCCTAAAACCTAAATGCGGTATGTTTTGTCGTACCTCATGACACGTGGGATTCCAGCAATTTCACGTTACTTGGCACTTCTTCAAAACGAGCACCTCAGAAATGCTGGTTTTACGGCTGCATACGAAGTAACCTATATCTATTATTTAAACTTCAGGTGCATTAACAAATCGCTTTTTGTCATCATCTATCAATGAAAAAGACCATGCGAAACTGTACGATATAGCGACACAAGGCTTTCTTCACGACGTCAGAGACAACTTGATAAAGCGTAATAAGAGGAAACAAGAACAGATATGTCCTAATTTAACGTGATAACTTTCCTACTGCTATATAGTTACAGCCAACAGTGTTAACTAACATAACCGTAAGTGAAGCTTCAAGTACCTAGCTGTGCCAAAGCATGTCATTCAGATATCGTTGTAACTTCTTCCGTTCTTTACACTTCAGAATTCACAGGAAGACTATTTTGATCCTCGATAACCGAACATGTGTGGCTAAAGGAAGTAATCCGTGAAATGTTTTTTAGGTCCTACTTATTTTTCAATAAACATTCTTTTGTAAATGAGCTTACTTTCTTACTTACATAGGGAACTATTTAAGTGTTGAGAAAGTGCGTTTGATTGTCAGTGAACTTGCGACTAAATACATATGCCTTATTAATAATACATCACCTGTTTCTTCGTTTGCAGATCATTTAAAATAACAATGAACTGGCAATTACAACGAAAATGCATAACAATTGATGCTCAAGCTTCTGCTACAATATTGTACAATAATGCGCTATTCGTTTTCAATAAATTTATTTAAACATAAACCATTTTTCACGTGGATTGCAGTTTTAGTGTGGTTTGTTGTGGGGATAAAGGCAAACACAGGAGGCCTTTAGGGTTATGCCAATGGTGTTTCAGAAGTTAAAGCAAAAGTAGACAATTCGGTGTGCATTTAGGTGAAAAGCAAACAATTCGGCGTATATTTAGTCAAAAAATGGACAATTCAGCGAATATTTGGGCGAAAAGTAGACAGTTCAGCGACATTTGAACGACAGAGCGACAAAAAGGGGGAAATTTTCATTATTTCCCCTGGACAGGCGAAAAAGCAGACATTATGGCGCGTTTCCCTTTTAATTCTTATTTGTTTTCCAGCGCATTTTCCCTCTATTTTCCCTTTGTTTGTTGGTTGGGTTCTAACGACCGTCTGCATGAACCAGTGGTACGTAGAAAATTGATTGCCATATACGGTAAGCAATATGTTCATCCCAAGGTAGGTTTACGCTATCCTATACACCGGGTTTTCGTTGTTGCGGATGTTTGTATGTTAATCACAGATACAGAACTTCTACAACATCACAATCTACTCATCTACCCGAGCGAACGACGGATAAAAGACGGAGATGCAAAATTATATGTTTGTGAAATCGCATTCTCTTGATGGAGGTTAGCACCGGATCGATCAATATTTTCAATGGATACTCAACAAGTGCCTCGAACTATACTAAACGCTACCGAATTCCCGCCCGTAACTAACAATGCAACACGCAACTACAGGCTCATCTGTATTTTCGAAAGCCTACCGACTAGCTCCTGAAGAGCTTATGTTGGCTAAAAGTGTATTAGAGCACACAACAGACTAGGAAACTATCCGGCCGTCGAACAGCCCATTGATGCCTACCATGGATATGACCCCGTTAGAGGCAGCAACGATTGTTGTCGATTTATTGATTATCGACGACTGGATACGAAAGACACTCCCTAACGTTACCCCATGCCTGACTGTTATTTTTCGAAGGCCGGTTTGGTTAAAGCATACGATCAAGTTGCTATAACTGCAGAAAACATCCCTAGAACTGTTACCATCATCTCCAACTGACTCTATGAATTTCCTCGCACGCATTTCCGCTGAAGAAGTGCTAATCAAACTCTTCACAGATTCATTGATAACGCTATCACAGGTCTCACTTTCGTATACGCATATGTAGACTACCAACTGAATACAAGTCAGGAGAGAGAATCTCATCTCCAGCATCTGGACCCTCTTTACGAATGACTGCGAAAAAAACATTACTGCGAACATTCCGAAATATTAAATTGGAACCAACTCCTTAGATTTTCTCGGACACGCCAATGAGGCCCAGAGCATTCGCCTCTTGACAAGAAAGATGGTGACCATTGTGAATTACTCAGAACCGCTTACAGTCAACCAATTGCGTACGTTCAACGACCGGTGAGTTTTTGTTGATAATTAATACCAAATTGCGCGTCTCTCATGAGACTTTAAACAGACCCACTTCTTGTAGATGAGAAACTCAACAATTTAAACGACAATGCAAAAAGCATTCTCCATATTTAGTTAAATTATCGCAAAAGCAACCATATTCACACACCAGGACATCAAAGCACCTAAAAGTATCGCAGTAAACGCACCTGACTAGGCAATAGGGTAAGTCTTACAAGCAAAATTTAAACAGGTCTAGCTACCTATATCAATCTTTTCGAGACGGTCGCTAGACACGAATTGAGGTGTAGCATGTCTGTAGGGAACTCCAGACACGTGTTGTGCTGCGCGACACTTTCGGCACTCTATGGAAGGCCGAATATTTATTTGTCTCACAGTCAAGAACCTCCTACCTCCTCTTCAAGCTCGTCTTCAGTTAAGTATTCTCTTCGAGAGTCTTGAAACCTGAACTGCATATCGCAGTTTACTTCAAATATACGAAACGTTTTATTATTTTTTACTATTCAAAAGCTGCTTATAGGTGCATACATTCTGTAGAAAAACGATTTTTGATTTCTTCAAAAGTGCAACAATGTAGAAGTCTCAAAAACGTTAGCATAGTACTTGCCATTTTTAAAAATTCAGATTTTATGTCCTTGAGAAGAATATTGAGCTAAAATTAAAGAAGGAAAGTGAGAAAAATAAGCTTCCAAGGAATCTACCTCCTAAAACTTGACCAACTTTATATACTGCAACTTGATTAAAAACTTTAATAATGTAACTAAATTAGGCTAGTCAGGCCTTATTTTTCATGTCGCTTAAAATTTATTTGAATCACAAACTAGTAGCTAGTGACTTAATTACTAGTTCTTGCTATGGATTTGAGATAACTGGTATTCTCAATAAATCAGTTGTTTTCCTTCGAAGCTTATCACTGAAGGGCCTCAAGCAATGGGAAGAACAGGTAAGTTCTGCTATAACAGCGAAAGCTAGATTAAACAAAGTCAATGAAATTTTGGGGTCTATCAAGATATCAGAAAATAGGTTGTTTAAATACCACAGAACGAGTCTTTTCAATTTCTGATAGTGTAACTTATAGTAGGTCTTAATAGGCTTGTCAACCATGTAAAATCTGTCGACGCTTTGCAATACCATTGTTGTATTTTCCGTAAACTATCCGTTTATAAAAGCTGTTTTACCATTGAATATAAGGTTACTAAAGATCACTCAATGCTATTTAGGACTTTTTTCTCAATCGAAACTCTTGTCCATCCTTTTTCATAACCTGTTTTCGAATATCTATCTTATAGATGAGGTCATCGATTCTCATATAGTAATATATATGGCGGTGATCACTTTGAAATCATATTCAATACAGATATTAGTGAAACATTAAACTGGAAGAAAATCATTTGTGATAATATTACGGTTAGACGGTGTTCTTGGCTGTGGAGTAGAGCCTTACCATCCACAAAGTTTAAGGATTGACAAAAGTATCGATCGGAGAGCAGTGAAGGACATCGAAGAGTATATTACATGGATGAACCTAATGGAGCAATCGTATTATTCGCTAATGTTGCAAATTAACCAGCAAGTATCTTTTTAAAATTTCTCGGGACTCCTATTTGCTCAATTTTTTAAATTCCATCTACTAAAGCATCTCGAGTAGCAAAGCACTTAGTAGTCTGTATCTGGTCTTAGCAATCTAGTGCCCATATCATTTTTGTCAGAGACTGAAAGATACTATAGTTCAAAATTGCCCAGGAAGACAAAATTCAAAAGAATTATTTAGTTTAAATGCATTCGACACATTAATATTGGATGTTATATATTTTGTTACTTCGTAATACTTTAGCTGTACTTTCATCTTTATAACGATTTGAGCTCAAGGTCGTGGTGGTAGTTAAACATTTACACCGAAAGACATTCTTCTCAAGCTTTCCCGTGTAGTACTGTCACTACAATGAATCCAAATGCTTTTGAATTTTAAATGATGATATTGTGTGTCTTAGGAAGTATATGATCTATTACTAATTTGAATGTACGTCTTAAAAAAACTATTCCAGATGAGAATAAATTACATGTAATCTCCGAACGATAGAAACGTGACACTGAAAAACCTTAGATTTTCATCAGGTTTTAAATACTTTTATCTCTAATATAAGGGACTCGTGGTTTTATCACCTCATTCAGTGATGGTATTTATTTCGATACAATAGACTTTTTACACTACTATCTGCACCACATATTATCCTAAAAAATCTGCTCTCTGGTTTTCTCCTCAGCTGATTGTTTACTTGATTATTTGAGATTAAGCTTGGGAATTCAGATAACTGGTGATCACTAGGTTTTCAGTTATTATGAGCGAGTTCTTAGTGATTTCTGTGATCTAGGAATATATTTTTATATTTTAAACATCTACGTCGCTGTTTTTAAAAAAGTATGTTTCTGACCTCGCAGTTTGAAGCTCTGTTTTTTGGATTTTTTATGTGAATATGATCCCTTAATGTTGCTGGGACCAATATTATGTAAATTTTCATCTCATTCTTAATGCCTTGTATCAGCCATCTTTTGACTTAATAATTTGTTGAAAATCATTTGAAGTTATTGGAGTTTTGCTTGCACCTTTAAGAGTGTTAAACATGTTCTTCATCTGCTTCCAAGGTGAACACTGTATTGCATGCTTCTCCCAAGTTATTAAGTTCCTCATAATCCAATTAGTCGCTAGCAGTATTAGAAAATGTCAGAGTAGATAGCTTTATAAGACCCTACTCTTCACTTCAAACGCATCTGTGAGCTGCCCTATATCCACAACTTTGTAATTCAGTCCTTCGTATATATGACCTTTCTCAGTTATTCCATAGTCTCGAAGAAGACTAGATATGAGTAAGTTGTATCTTCTCATTTGTTAGGCTACTTGAAAGATTTTCCTGGTTTAATAAATTGTTCTGACATTCCACGCTTACATGTTGATTACTCCCCCGGTTATCAGAAGAGGCATCGAACCGGTGACTTCTGGTGAGTCTGGGCGTCATAACTCTTCCATATTTAAAAACGTCAACTTCCAGAACAGTGGATAAATAGTTTAAATAGTTTTCTTTAGTAAGCGCGTTTTGGCTAATCTGTTCTTTTAAAGCCGAAGTTGCTAATGCTATCCTCAATTATCATTCTTTACTCGTACTTTGAACATATAGTAACCATACATTGACCCAGGGTGGATTTGAAATCTATTTATACAATGTTAGATTTCATTGTGGTTTGTCATTAACTGTAACGTATCTAAAAAGGAAACACCATGGAATTTGCTGTATAACGTGATCGTTTCGGGGCGTGATAAGTTTGAAACGTTTTCATATTTAATATAACGAGATCTCGAAATATGGTTTCATGTTCCTAAGAAGAAAGTCCATATATGTGTGATATTCGTAGTGCGATAAAAAAATATACGTAAAAATTTGCTTAGGATTTAATGTTCTTTTCCAAAACAAAAGATATCTGCTTGGTAGCAATAATAAACGCTTAGTGAGCGAACTCTTACGATGCGTGGTTGAGCTCCACATAACTTCAATGCTTTCTCGCAAAATGTTATCAAATAAACCTGCTCTTACTGACAATAATTAGTCCTGCAATATATGCTCTCTTGAGACATGTAACCTTTATCAAGAAATTTTACAGGCCTCGATGGTTTTGTTGAGATAGGAAACTGTTTTTGAATAATTTTTTGGTTTCAAAAGAGCTACCATGTTTTTTAATGTATGGTATTGTTTTTTAGTTATTCTGGCATGGTTCATGAAAGTCAAGGACCTCATAAATCAACTCTTATTGAACAAACGGTAAAAGGAGCCATAGCAGGTTCGTGAGTGTTTATTAGTCTGCTAAGTTTATCACAGGTGGAGTCACTGGAGCAATTGAGATTTGCATCACTTTCCCGACTGAATATGTTAAGACACAATTACAACTTGACGAACGTATGGGTAGTGCCAGACAATATTCGGGACCCATCGACTGTGTGAAGAAGACAGTAGGATCTTATGGTTTTCGTGGTTTGTATCGAGGTTTACCTGTTCTCCTATATGGCTCTGTTCCCAAGTCGGCTGTTAGGTGAGTCTGTTAACATATGAGGCATTTAAAGTTGAAAGTAAGCAAGTTGAAGAGAGACGTAAGGTCAAAGATGTGACATATTCTCGGTATTAACATTTGATATACCAACAGTGTCAACCTCTTAATCAAAAATCTATAGATTATTTCATGTAAATGTTAGTTGATTGAATAATCTTCTGCAAGTCCTTTACTATTAAAAATGATTTATCTCATAAGCTAATTGTAGTGAGCTATATTTCGATAATGATATTAGAAGAGCTATATTTGTCATCGATGTTCATTGTCCATTCTTCTAACGTATTTTGTCAGCACTGTTATGCAGGGCAACTGTTTTCGACTTGAAAGATACATATCTTCAAACAAGGTGTCTTTTAGAAGACCGATATTGTGTTCAAAACGTTTCAAGCAAAAAAAATGAAATTGTTATAAAAATACAGTCGATATTGTCAAACATCAAATTGAAAGCAGTAAATATCTACAAACAAACGATGTCAGACATAGACTGTATGAGTAAATATGCTTAATTTTGATATGACAGGAAGTTAACAATTAGAAATGAAGAAAAAACAATCGAATCGATGTGAAATTTAAACATGATTATCAAAACAATAGATATGTATCGCTAATTTCTAATCATTGAATTTCTAACCTTGACTAATCTTAAATTACATCATCTTACAAAATGGTTTCATATAATCATTATCTACTTATTTAGATTACATATATGAATATTCACATTCACTTAATATACAGAGCTAACAGACTTATCATATTCTAGAAAGTTAGTTAAATTTTCATGATGCATAGTAATGAATTCAATTGGGTGTTACACGTATTAATACCAAGGTTGGACTTGGTAGTTTCAAATAAATTGAGCGTTGGGTAGAGAGTTAATGATAAAAATATATTTTTTATTATATTCCAATGAGTAGAAAAATTGTATTTCTGGCGTTTTGTAACTATATGTAAGCCACTTCTTCAGAGTACATAAATAACCGATAATTAGGTTAACACAAGTTTAATGTCAGTTATTTATTTACTCGGAAGAAGCGGCTTACATTAAGTCTTGAGTGCTACGTTTTATGATATACTTTATTACGTTTGTTTGTTAGATTTGGAGCATTTGAAGAGTTTAAACGTCATAATTTATCTCCAGATGGGACTCTAACAGCTGGAAGAAAACTTTTATGTGGTTTAGGTAAGTGTCAATGTCATTTTAATCCTTTTTGATCAAAAACTCGAAATATTTTCTGTTCAATAGACGACTGCTATATTCTTTCTTTCTCATCCTCTTTTTCAATATTCGTGTGTGTACGGATGTCAATGTTTATCTATAAGATGGTTGGTTCCTTATCTATTCATCTGTATTTGGTATATTCTTTATTTGATAAAAAGGATAACCCTTGACTAATTGTCTTTTGGCTAGCAATAGTCAGAGATCCCGCTACATTCATCTGTTCATGTTTACTGTCTATAAGCTTGCATATGAACTCCTGAAATAGAATTATTCCAAAACATTGCATATTTGGCTTTTATTACCATCGTCGCTTAATAGGGTTATTTTAAGTATTTTGATATGAAATTAGACGAGAAAACATTTCATGAATCCTTCATCATCACCATCAACAGAGTCATTGTGGTGCTACAGTTTCCTAACCGAATCCCTGTTGAAGGACTCCTATAAACTTCCTGATGATAGCTATAAACGTGTGGTCAAACGACAGCATTTCGAGAGAAAGTGAACTTGCTTCATATTTCGGCCTTACCAGGCCACCTCGGTGCTTCCGTCAAAACAAGGATTGACTTGTTATTGAAGTACAGTTCTTTCAAAGTTTGTATCAGATATTGCCATTATTCTGCTTCATTTTTGCTTATTTTTACTTACCGTTTTTGTCACCATTCCGTTTTGTTCGGCCACAAATCTATTGATTTAACTTATCACCAACATATTCAAAATAATTTAACAGTTACGAAAATATATGCTATAGAATAAACATAGTTTATTAGATTTACTAGTCCCTAACCCATAGTTTTCAGTGTAAATGACAACTCCAAAACTTAGCTCCCTTCAGTTATAAAAAGACTGGCTACACATACTTTCTAGGGTTCAAATATATGAAAGAAATGTGATGGTTGGGTTTCTAAACTAGAGATAAACACATAAAAGTAATAACTTGTTTAAATACCTACATAAAAGTGATATGAAGATATTTTCAGGTGTGAGACAACACAGTTCGAAATTTCTTGATGCAAAATAGATTTATCCTTCATTACATTTTGAACTCGGTCTGTTTATCTTACAAATACTGTAAATCCTTAAATAAACCGTGGCCACTGTTCACAGTAATTTATATCTACATCTTGACTCGTAGCTCTTTTATGTACTCTTTACTGAACCCTAATAACTTGATTGTTGTTTTATACTATGGAAACAACAAATAAATTGATAGTTCATTTAGAGGTACAATTTGACTGATTTATTTATCCACTAAACTTGTTCACAGTGTCATGTAATCTACAGACATCTAATAGTTAAGTCTTTAAGGAAATAATATGGACTGTGGAAATTCTTTTGAATAATCTGCTTCTAACCCAGATTTATTCTGATTATAAGATCAGTTGGGTATATTAAAGATTAACCAAGTGAGTGACAGCATTGTCCCAACACCTATTTGATGAATGTAAAATAACTTAGATGAGAGAGTGATGCAACTCCCATAAAACTTATTTTCCAGTCGCTGAATAGGATTGTGCCAAATGTCTTAAAGGGAAGAGTCCAAGATCTATCTGTAAGAAGGATAAATGGATCTCAATCAAAATATTTTACAATAAAACATCAGCATTGTAAAATAATGATGGTAAAAATCTAAATTTTTATTGGATAAGTGGATTTTGTAGTGCTATCCGAATTTATACCACATATCTTACACTCTTTTTTATACATAATTATTACTTATAGGCGCAGGGGTTTGTGAAGCTATAATGGTAGTTACTCCGATGGAAACCATCAAAGTGAAATTTATTAATGATCAAACATCTAAAAATCCACATTATCGTGGTTTTTTCCATGGCTGTGGCTGTATCATCAAAGAACATGGTAAGAGCGAAAGCTGTTAGTGTTAAATATTACGTATTCATTGAAACAATAATTTTGTAAAAAATGAAAAAGTTCAGTGGTTGTTTCAAACTAATTTACACTAAAGCTCTACCGGGAAGCCTGAAAGGTCAGCATTCTTTGTTCCCAAGTTGACTAATAATCGACGTGGAAGTCGTAATCTGTAGGCGGATCACAACTTCGTAGTTTCGTAGGAACTAGCTTCTAGCTCTAAAGTGGCGTCATTTTGTCAACACAACTATAAAGCTAACTAAGCAATTATAATGTCACATATGGTTTAAAAATCATTTCTTCATGTCAGCTACGGGTAAAATGCGGTAAGATTACATCTTAGATCTGCTAAAATAGCAGGGCTGGAATGTGATCTAATGGGCTTAAATAAATTAGAAATTTCACTTGAAATCACGGTATTTTTCAGTATTTATTCGCCTGCTGACCACCAACTGACTAAAATATTGTCATTTCTCAAGACCCTTTACGTTCTTTGAATTCCTAAAGTTTTCACTTCCTTCGGATCTAAACAAATACGACTGTGTCGTTTAAAGTTATTATCCGAGATACGTAATCTGCTGTATTCTTTCACAGTTGAACGCTATCATGATGAAGGCTATCAGTTAATTCTATGTGGTAAAGGATATGAGGATGGTTTGAGGAATTGGTTTCACTGTATGATTGGATTTACTTTTCTTCGTCATCCATTTTTTAAAGTTTTATAACCATAATTTTTATGCTTCAGTTATCTTGAAAACTTATTAACTGTATGAAATCCTGAAAATATAGTAAGGACTTTAAATAGTATAGAATTGGAATCCTCTTGTTAGGAACTCAGGTGTTGAATTATCGACAAAATTGTATGCATATTTGTTCGTCTCAAAATACTTGTTGTAAATGATTGTTTAGTCATAAAATGAATGTTTGTGCACACTCGACTGCGCGATACTGGATTTTTTTTGAGCTTACTATTTGGCATAAAAGTATCGTATAGAGACATGCCGACCAGGGCTGAAAAATGAGGTAATGGATTTCGCGCAAAATCTAAGAATCAACTGATCATTACACTATATCGTGTAAAATGTGAAGTGAATATTTCTTTGTGTACTGTTTAGACCATTGAAAATCATAACAAAGAGGTAATTTTTGTTACTAAAGTGTAAAAATGACAGTATTAAACTTATGAAATTATCAAGTATTTTTATGTAGATAAGATATAATGTACAAATCAACTCTGTTATTATAATCTTATGTAAACATTGGTCCGGAAATATTTGAAATTCACAGAATGTAAAGTAGAATGATATTGTTATTGATCAGATATTCATTAAGCTTTACTGTAATATATGGTAAAATTTATATGCGTATATGAAAAAAATTAAACCAGTCTAGGTAGTGTGTCGGTCAATGATAATAATGGAAAGGGATTATATAAATAATAATAGGTAAACAATGTAAACTAACAGTAAGGCGTTAGGTACCGTCGTAAATATATCGATAATTTAGACAAAAATAGGGTTTATACACAGTATTTTGATTGAAATAGGATGTCTTTAATGTTTCCTTTCTTAAGAAATATTCGTGTATAATGAACATGAAAGTTGAAACACGAACTGATCGTATAAAACGTCTCTGGTATAGGTTAGAGTTTAACGGAGGTGTGACTGGAGGTGGTCAACGCGACAGAGTAACTAGATCATTGAAAAGTCCTTTTAATGCAGCTTATACTTGTTTATCATTTTCTAGTTGACGAGTGCTAGTTCCTCAAATAAAAGATAATTCACATAGTTTTACCACTTCAGCTGCTCATGTGCATAAAGGTGAATCGGTCGTTCAGATGGACAACTTAACCTATGAGTTAGCGAACACCTAGCTTCTGGGAAATATCATCAATATGAACTTCAGATTGAAGCGATGCATTCGAATTTCTGCACATATTACTGGCAACCTGTTCAGTTGATGTTTATTTGTTGTTTTTGATACTTGTCCTGTTATCGTTTCCATATTTGTTTTGGTTGTTACCTTTTTCGACCTGATAGTTGCCCACGATTTTTCTGATTCACTGATAAATTGAATCGATTTCGGTATGTTTATGGACTACAGATTGACTTGATTTATCGAGCCTCAAAAGGTTCCCTAGTCTTTATACGACTTAAGAATAACTTTAGAAATCATTATACAACTCCTTTTAATCACATGTAGTTCATCGTGGTCATTTGGTAGATAGAAGCAAGAGTTATTTAATGTTTCCTTTCAAATTTTCTGGATATAATTTGTTTTCGTCTTTTGCATTTAGTGGAAGCAATACTTTTTCAAGCAAACCTTTTTAGTCCTTGTGTTCTTAAGAAATTTGTAGCATTTTTATTCCTTCTTTGGGAGGATGAGAATTCGATAGACGTTATAACTCATTCCTTCTACCCTTTCTCTTCTTTACTATCTACGTATGTCAGCTAAATACTCACGAATTCTTATTACGTCATTTCCAATGAATTCATTTTTTGCAGCTTTGACTTACCTACTAGGACTAATTGCGTAGTCCTTTTCCATTGTTACCACAGAGTGCCTCGATTGATGCATATAAGTAAGCCCAATGAGGGTCCGATTGAGTTCTAGTCAGAAGCCGTAACCAGTGGAGTTCAACAGCATTGGGTGTCAGGACGTTACCCACTGGAGACAATGAAAAATTGTTGCGCAATGTCGTGGATTGATTCAAGTTAAACTTTCATACTGTTGGATCTTGGTTCAGTTGTTTAGAAGTTAAGGTTTCGATTCCTTGTCCTAAAATCGCACTTGTGAGGAGTCTCATACTGGGACATAACGGCCGTTCAGTCCTCCCCAGTTTTCAATGATGGTCTGACCTAGATCAATTCATGATTTCAGTAACACAATATCGTTTGATTACATTTATTTTTTGGATGTCTTAGATCTCCACAAACGATTTCTGATCGATAACTTTGCCCCAATATTGAATAATTAGTTAGAATTTTTCACGTTTCCAATTTATTCATTTTCATATTAGTTTATAATGCTCTTCTATCACCTGTTGCGATTGCTATGATTGTTTAAATCATACTAAACATGCAGAATTCTAGTGATAGGAATTCTATTGGAATTTAAGTTTGCTTAGTGGTTTACTTACTTTTATCTACCATATACGCATTGACCTTAGTGATTCTGCGTACATTCAAAAACATTAAATTGTTGGACTAATTTTAGGTATGAATGAAATATTCAAAACTTAGTTATAAGGTACAAGTCGTAAGCATTTTTATTTAGACTCTTTGCCATGTTGTTTATAGAAAAGTAAATCGCATAATCTTCGGACTTACAATATACCGACCAAACTTTAAGTGCCTACAATAATGAACCACACCTACTCATTAAACAACTGAGTTAAATAGTCTTTCCCGATCAACCGATCTATAACAAAAGTTGAAGAAGCATATTAAGTAGTTGTTTTCTTGAAACCTATGAATGACGAAGTTTGTATATGTCGCGGTAATAAATTGCTCCATTAAAAGTCATATCACATTCCGTGAATACGTAACTGGTAAGTTTTTTTTTCTACCGAGAAATCAATTGAAACTTTACTCATGTTTTTTGGTGATTTTGTGAAAACTATATTACAGTAGAAGAAATATACCCTAATCGGTGACATAAGTGAGAAAACAAATTTACCGTTGTTTTTAATATCGTGTTTAATTTTCCAAAGACTGGTAATATGATGGAAGTGTTGTCATGTTATGTTTTCACATTTGTCTAATTAACGTTCCATGTAAGTAAATGAAAGAAAGGTGTTTTGAAACCCATTGTGTCATTATCATATCGGAAAAACAGGTTACTTGGGTTGTATTGGATGTTTTAAGTTCGAGCCGGAATGACAGGAAAGCAGTTGTATGACCTCTCGCTCTCTTTCTCTAATCCGATTACTGGTCAGTTCAGCTATATTACCATTAGAACAGATGACCTTCTACCTACCAATTGACACATCGACCAATGAATTACAATAAGATATGTGACAACTATCTACAGGTCAAACGAAGAATTGAAAATTATTGAATATTAAAGTAATGCACGCGTTGAGTCAATAAGGCAAACTAAATGAAGCAAAGTGTTGTAACTTGTCAACCTGTGTGCCCTGTATATTGGATTAGCGCAACGATACCGCCAATCAGAGAGCAGCGAGTTATCGATCCAACCAGTGACGCATGAAACATGCGAGCAGCCTAGAGTCTTGATTGGTCTCACTTCCTGTCTGGTCCAGCCAGTTAAGTCCAGAACACCAATCTTAGCCTCTGCAATATGAATCATTTATTTCAAATATACGGGGTTTATATACCAATCAAACAGACCACAACGTAGCATAAAATAAAAAATAACATTTGTACAATATTCGGCCACAAGTGACTGCGAATGAGGGAGGTAGTGATTAACAGACAGGGAATAATCCAAGAATGGTAAATCGTACAAGAATAGTTCATAGGTCAAAATAAAACTCATAATGAGAGGGACATGAATATGAACAGTTTAGTTACATAACAATTACACGATAAAAATATACTCATAGTAGTGGTCCATAAATGCATCCTAAAAATTACCATTCATTATTCTTATCGGGATATAACACAAAGAAAGTTTTTTTGCCTCTACATAACTTCTAATCTTGATGCTGTATCCAACATCTGATAGGCTATCCCACTACTTTATGAGTTTAGTGCCAGAGATGTAGATTCCATGAAACATTCTCGAGAATACCCACAGACATGTCTTTCTTTCCATGTGTATGGAGTTGCTTTCATGTTTGAATGTAAGCTGATCAATCAATTTGAAATTTCATAACTCCTGTTTATCTCATTCATATCTTCAATATGGTCTAGTCTATAAATGATACATATTTATTGAATTCATATCGTTGTTTCTGAATGCACCTGTACTGATCATGGTGGGTAATACAGTAGGCAAACATCAAACATAAACTAGCCGTTTTGTGAACATCATTTACCTCATTGTTTATTATCTGATACATAACTCATGGCTCCATTTGCACGATGTATTTGGAAAATCGATCAGTGTTTCCACTCAATTAGGATTGTGAGCAAAGATAGTCAAAGAAATTATTAGTTTCAGTGCATTAGTCATTCTAATAATTTTATAAATATTTGTTCCATCATTGTCAGTAGATTATTATTTCAATAGTTGAAATCATGAGTCAATTGAAGCTAGACCATCATGGAAAACCTGAAAGCACTGGATGACCGTTTCGTCCAGTATGGGACTCCTCAGCAGTGCTCATCCACGATCCCGCGAGGTTCGAACCCAGGACCCATCAGTCTCGCGCGCGAGCGCTTAACCATTAGACCGCTGAGCCGACATCAGTGCCGGCTTAGTCAGTTCTGTTTTCTGTCTAAATTTCAAGAAATTATGTTAAGTCATATGGGACTGAGTAAATGATCAAATCTTCATTAGTTTTCTTTTCATGTTGTAGGGATTACTGGTATGTACAAAGGTGTAACACCGACAATTCTGAAACAAGGAAGTAATCAAGCCATTCGTTTCTTTGTAATGGAAACTTTGAAGGATGGTTATCGACAGTATCGAGGTGACAAAACTACTGGACTACCTGTCCCAAAATTACTAACTGGATTATTTGGGATTATTGCTGGTGCAGCATCCGTCTATGGAAACACACCTCTGGATGTTGTCAAAACTCGAATGCAGGTAAGTGTACTTTTATCACAATATTTATCAGCCACAATCAACTAATATTCAGTGCTGATCGTGATTTGTAGATCACGTTCCCATAATAGCCACTTGGTTAAGTATGCCGATATCGTGGTCTACGCTTACAACATCAGATTGTTGAAAATTATCTTGTTAGCCACATCGTAGTAAGTTTGATCTATACTCTAGATTAAACGTATTCATATCTATACTTACCGTTAGATAACTAACATAAAGGTTAGCTTCGAGAGCTTCCTACTAATCGTTACCAACTGTCTAACACGACTACAGTATACTATCAAACATATTATTACAAATTCAACTCCTAAGTTATGTCGTCATGTATAACGTCTGTCTCTGCATTGTCAAAACTCCAGTTTTCTCCCTCAAAATGCATAATAGACTTATTGGTATGCATGATCCAGTCTAGACAGTTTTAGTCCAATTTTCTAGTGAAGACTTTGAGATTAAAACGCTTTTGCGACACTAAAATAAACCAAAATAGCAGCGGACTGTTGAAACATGAATAAAAGATTAACAATCCCAATCATATTAAAACAATTATATGAACGAAGAATATTCTTTTCAGTAATTTCTCATCAGGTCCTAAAATTATATATCCAAATTAATAATCCATGGAAAACCTGGAAGCACTGGACGGCCGTTTCATCCTAGTATCAGACTCCTCAGTAATGCGCATCCACCATCCACTTCGTATTAGTCATCCTAACATTAACGACTTTATTTTATTTTATATGACAAACAACAACTCTTGATTCATATTTTACAATTTTAAATGATGTACCTTACCTTAAAACTGGCCAATTTTATGGATTATTAATTTGGATTTATAGTTGTAAGACATGATGAGAAATTACTGAAAAGAACATTCTTCGTTCATATAACTGTTTAAAATAGAATGAAATCATCGATAAAAATATCGATAGTTCCTACGTTTCGTCTATCACTCTTGTCTGGATTTCTTCCGGGTAATTATGAAAGTTAAAATTATAAAGAAAGCATGTAATGTTTGCAGACATGTCTATTCTAGAATCTAATCTTAACATATTTATTTGTCTGTGCCGTTAAGTGGGAAAATATTAGTCAGTAAGCTGTGAAAATTGGAAATGGATGAAAGTATATATCGGTTTAATTGTATTTTATTAATGATTTCATTATTATAAGCAGTTTCTGTTTTCTGCCAAAGACACTATTTTATCCATTAAAAGTTATTAAATGTGGAAATTATATTTGAAATAATCTTAGCGATTGAAATTTAAATAATTCCATCGTTTCGTCAGTTAAATGCGAAACATGTGAAAAGTTTACGATGTGAAAAATAAATGACTGAACTAATTGTGCAGGGAGTCTTCTTTTAAGAAATTTAAAACAATTAGTCCCTTTGATAAATTTCGATAATGCAATGAGAAGACGAAGATTATCAGAACTATGTGATATATTAGCGCAATACATTTCGAACAATCTGGTCACACATATACTTGTTAAGAGCATTTATATATAAAAATAAAAGGTCAACTAGACAGGAAACGGGGTAAGAGGAGATAAGGATAATGATAAGAGTAATAATAATAATAATGTGAACACAATTTGAAACCTAATCACTCTGGATAATAAGTCGATATTACCAGGGTAGTTGAGATATTCGTTGTTAATATGTTTTTATATGAAAGAAAATAAAAGTACAAGTTGAAGGTTGAAAAAATTGTTTCTGAATCTCGATAATGTAATTAGAAGACGAAGATTATCAGACTTATGTGATATATTAACGCATTTCGAACAATCTGATCACACATATACTTGTCAAGAGCATTTATATATAAAAATAAAAGGTCAACTAGACTGGAAACAGTGTAAGAGGCGATAAGGATAATGATGAGAGTAATGATAATAATGTGAACACAATTCGAAACCTAATCACTCTGGATAATAAGTCCTAATCATTGAAATGCAAGTAAAAATGAGAACCATCAAATATATAATTATATTGCTAAATATAACTCATATTATCAGAATGGGTTTTTTTGTGGAGAATTTTAGAATTTTCACAGTTTTTTGAAATCATGATTTCAAAAATAACTCATATTAATTTCTAAATAACGATGCATGTGAAATAAACAGGTTGAATAAAGAAAGGGTCCAATTATTTGTCAACGAATATTTGCCAAGTAATCGGTAGTTGAATACCATTCTTTCGGTTCAGCTTGTTCTTGTTCGCCAATATACACAGCGCTTCTGACTCATGTTATCCTATTTACTAAAATCAACATCCAAATATGATTGGATTAACACAATTTACATTTAATCTGATTTAATCTGATTAAAAGACTGTATATTCATTTGATGATTTTGATTTTGACTATTGCCCTTAAGAAGTCCAGACAAGTTAGCTGGACGAAACGTTGGGATTATTTAAATTTAGTCGCTGAGGTTATTTCAAATATGATTTTCACATATGATTAGAATTAATTTTTTTATAAAACAAAGCTATGTGTGATACAAACAGGGTTGTAGAGATAAAGTCCAAATTACTTTCTGATAAGCGGTTGCCAAGACGTAGCTAGTTGCGTTCCATCATTTCTGTTCACGATGTCCCTATTACTCAATATATACAGCGCTTCTTTGTCAGTCTTTTATTTGTGGATACCAAACCCTTTCTGAAGAATTTTAATCCTCTTGAAGTTGATTTTGTTGTCTGTTTCTGACAAATATAGCGCAATTATGGATTTACTTGAGATCAACCGACGACTTAGAAACCTATTTCAAACATTGTTCTGTTTCCTCAATCTCATATTCAGTCGTTCAGATGTTTCATATACAGCATCCTGTTGCTCTTCTTTTAATAGCCTATCTTTGTCTTTAACTAGACCTCATCATATCGTACTACTGACCAAGAAATAAAGTCTTTTGTTTATTTAGAATTTTCTTAATTCCGATATGTTGACCTTCCTTGTCGTTAATGAGATTACAACTGCTATTTAAGATTTTCACATCTATAACCTTTGTAGAACAAATGTGTCCTCATTGTTAGCCTAATTATCTCTAAGAATTTGTTGATTTCCAGAAAACGATAGTTTTTATCCTTTAATTAGACCTTTTTTCAATCAAACGGTTGAAAAACGCTAGCTTGTAGTCAATCGATCCCATCTCCTGGCTCAATGCAATCCGATATGCTGTGTACATTTTCAAATATCTTGCTCAAAAATGACAAAAATGTCACCAAGTTACTTCTTCCTGATTATTCCTCAGTTGTTCTCTAATTTATCAAACTTCAGAAAGGACAAATAACTTAAGACCAGGTAAAAATAGGTCTCAGTTCAAGGAGTAATAATTACCACCTTATAACATGAAGAAAAATATTGAGGGTGATGATATTTATGTAATAGGTCATCTGCTCCATTGACACTTATTTTGAAAAATATCCTCTCAAGTCTTCAAACACTGATTGAAGTTGTTTGGATTTACCCCAACCCTAGATTCTGCACCTTCTTGAGATAAACTGTTAGTGAATTCACAAACCCATGTTATTTGCCGTTTTACTTTAGGTTATGGTGACTATACATTAGAAAACTACTGCTTCAAAGCGTTTATTGTCTATTACGAGTTACTTGCTTATGGTAATTGATTCCAAAGATCATGTCCTTCATATGTAAATTAATACAGCGATAACTGCTCTTCGGAATACTTGACCTTCCATAGGCAGTCGAATATCTTTCATTTACTTCAAGTATTTTATGTTTACAAAATATCACACGAGCGTTTTGTTTCTTTGAATTGAAAGTATGTTTAAGGAGTTAAACTTTTCTGAATAATTAATATTGAAATGTGTTATTGTTGTTCCCATTTAATTCAGTCCAAAATAGCTTAATTACCAAAATTCCTGGGTTTTTTTACGTAGGGCCTTGATGCACATAAGTATAAAAATACACTTCATTGCGCTTGGAAAATATGGACCGAAGAAGGCTTTTTTGCGTAAGTTTATTTATTGATAACGGGTATTTCAATTTAAAATAATTTTATTTGACAGTATTTGAACGAACAAGAGCTAAATGACTGGACGATTAGAAACAAGTATCTACCTCAGACAATGAATGAATGGTTGCACAAGATCACGGATCGATTGAAGTTAGACATTAACAATATGGGATGCCGGCTCGGTGGTCTAGAGGTCAAGTATTTGTGCGCGAGTCTTGAAGGTTTTGGAATAGAGTCCCGAATGCGCGACCGTGCACGCGCACTGCAGAGGAGTTCCATACTGAGACGAATCGGCCGTCCAATGCTTCCAGGTTTTCAATGGTGGTTTAGCTTAAATCGACGCATGAATTCAACTACTGAAGATTAGTTATACATTTATTGTAATATATTGTAGTCGTCTGACAAGATGAAACCCGTTGCTATCTCAAATGACACTTCCATTTCCAATCGCGGTCAATTGGCTTATTGGTTACATCGAGTTGACTTCCAGTCAAATGTTTTATTCGCAACAAACTTGCTGAAATAATAATTATGACGCCTCATGATGAAATCCGAGATTCTTCGGAATTCATGAGACTGATTCCCGTTCTAGCAACTATAGCAACAATTTTTAAAGGTTCTTGGAATGTCCTGACAGTGTGAGTGACCGGGAGGACAAGTCAAATAGCAATAGAAATGAGGGGATACAACTTGGCGGTGCTAGGAATCAGCAAAACCCACTGGACTCAAACTGGACAGCAAAGGTTAAGTACAGGATAAATTCTGCTGTACTCCGTTCACGAAGAGGAAAATGCTCTTCACACTCAGGGAGTTGCTCTTATACTGTCCAAACATGCACATACGATGGGAAGCTCATAGATCCAGGATCATTAAAGCATCCTTCAAAACAAAAAAGGAGGGAATCACAATGAATGTTAGCCGATGTTATGTACCCACCAATGATAGCAACGACGACGATAAAGATCGGTTCTACAAAAGCCTGCAATCGAACATAGCCAAATCCCTAGCAAGGGACCTGGCAATTCTGATGGGTGATCTAAACGCCAAAATTGGAATGGACAACGGTTATGAAGATATCATGGGACGGCATGGACTGACTGGGAGAAAGATATGAAATTGGTGACAGATTTGCAAATCTATGTTCATTCAACTAATTGGTTATAGGCGACTTAATATTCCCACACAAACGCATACACAAAGCTGCATGGATCTCACCGGACCACATCACGGAGAACCAGATAGATCGTATTTGCACCAGTAGTATATTTAGGTCATTGGAAGACATTAGAACCAAGAGAGGAAGACATAGGTTCAGATCAGCATCTGACTGGGGCCAAAATAAAACTGATGCTATAGAAGCACTGGACAATTAGAAAAACAGAATTACGAATGTTTAACGCAGCCTCCCTTTGAGATACTGATAAACTCAATGAATTCAAGATAACTCTCATCAACAGATTCCAGCCTTACAGGATCTACTGAAAGATTAAGAAATAGCCATGAAAGCCAGCTGGAAGGGGATCAAAGAAGCACTAAGGTCAAGGTGTCAGGAGGTGCTTGGCCGCAAGAAACATCATCATAAAAAACGGATCTCTATCGAAACCCTGAGCAAGATTCAAGAAAGGAAGAACAAGAAGACAACAACTAACAACAGCCGAACAAGAGCAGAGAATGTCAAGGCACAATCTGAATACGCAGAAGTAAACAAGCAAGCGAAGAAGAGTAGTAGAGCTGACAAGCAGAAATGTCCTGAAGACCTAGCATGAAACAACCAACAAAGAAACTGGCAGGGAAATATAATAAACCAGAGAGACCGGTCAAGGACAAAGAAGGCAAGCCAATCACTGAACTTCAAGGACAGAGGAACAGATGGGTGGAACACTTCAAGGAAATGTTGAATAACCAACACCACTGAATCTTCACTATACTTCAACTCCTTTGATTATGAGGAAGCGTTTGACAGTGTGGATAGGAGAACATTATGGAAACTTCTTTGACACTGGGCTACCTAGGAAAATCGTCAACACCATACGGAATTCATACGACGGACTACAGTGAAAAGTCGTACGTTGAGGACAGCCGACAGACGCATTCCAAGTAAGGAGAGGATTTAGTCAAGACTGCCTACTCTTTCCTCTTCTCTCTCTCTTATTGGTCGACTGGATTACGAAGACGTCGACATCCGAGGGAAAGTATGGAATTCAATGGACAGCTCGAATTCAGTTAGAAGATTTGGACTTCGCAGATGACTTAACCCTCCTATCCCATACACACGAACAAATTCAGATGAAGACAACTAGTGTAGCAGCAGCCTCTGCATCAGTAGGTCTTAACATACACACTTGATGGCAAAAATCTGGAAGATGTTGAATCCTGCTGGCGAGCGACCTATACTCCTCTATGACGGAAAACAGGCGTAAGTGATTATAATAGTACAAAGAAAATTACTAATTATTACTGTTCGAATACCATTGTCTGTCAAGCAAGTTAATAAAGCGGCTGAACAAAATTTAATGATAATCGAAATCGATTGTAGGAGAATTGCTATAGTTCTATTGTTCCAAATTTACCATTAATTATTTACAGTTGATGAATCACTGAGTAATGACCAATGTCACGCATATCAAGTTCTTCTTCGTGCTGATCGAATGCTATCGATCATATTGAAATATGGCCGTTAGCCTAATTGACCCGACATCGCGTGCACTTTGTTGGAATGTAAAATGGTGATTGAAGGTAGTCTATAGGAAACCCTGGACCTAGGCTTTGTGTTATTTGTCAGTTGTCAGCGAAGTGTAACTATAATTTTCAGGGAACTGGTACACGTTGCTGACGAATGTCAACTAAAACGAAACCTGGGCTCAGGATTTTCTATTAACTACTTCCATCTACCATTTTGATCAATTATCCCTGTTTTACTCTGGTTTTGAATCACCTCTGAATAAGTTACGTGCACACTGTAATTCCTAAGTCGCGTTACCATGTGGCCAAACATTTCAGTCATATTAATGTATGTTTTGTATCATGATTGAAATAAAGTACAATAGATAATTGATCTCCTTTTGATCTTTGTCTTGTGATTGAGCACTAGGTTAGAAAGAGCTTAAAGACCAATTAGAGTCAAGGCTTTGGTAATTGTCCATTGGTCTGTGTGTCAGGTCACTCGTCCTACTGGCATTATGGGTCGATAAACTGACTAGAGAGATAAAGAGGTCACACATCCGCTTCTCGCCTTACTGCCTTAGTACATGAAACCCAATATAACCTAAGTAATCTGTTTTTTTTCCTGACAACAATTTCTAACCAGTGTTAATGAACATCAAAAGTTATGAGTTTATTTAAAGTGACTTGGAAATATTGAACTAGTATAATTTTGAACATATAATGTATTTCTGAAAACATGATAGTGTGATCGACTCATCACTAATGAAGATCCTGTTTATATTTCAAAAGATACTACTTGCCAAAACGTCTATTACAAAGAAAGACCTAATAACAAATCCTACCGAATTTTTTTTTAAGATATAATCCTCATGTTATTTACTGAGTTTATTTAAAGCTTGTCTTTTGGATTTCATCCATTGAAACAATAATAATCTTGAGATTTATTAGTTTAATTTAAAAATTCCTGAAAAATCAGTGTTAAAAGTGGTTAAATAATGATCAGGAATAATTAAACGAGCTGTGTCCCGCTTTTTATCACGTGATCTATCCACCAATCAAAATACGACATACAATCTTCGCACTGTGCCAAACCAATGACGTTCGACCGGTATGAGAGCAGCCTAGTGTCCTTATTGGTCCTACGTCCGCCTAGTCCGTCCACTTGAGTCCAGAACAACAATACCAGCTTCCAATATGTGAATCGAATCGAATCATTTATTTCAGACATACTGGGTTTATATATCAACCAAACAGACCGCAACGCACCATAAAATAGGAAATAACACAATAAAGCCAAAAAGTGAATGTGAACGTGGGAGGCAGTAATCAATAAACTGAACATAGATTAAGAACAATAAATCGTACAATAATAAATTATAGGTCAAACTAAAGCTTATAATCAGAGGAATATAAATATACATAATCTAATTATTGAATAGTTATACCATAAGAATGTATAGATAATATTAGTCAATTAATATGTCTCAGAAGTTACGCGTGATTTAATCTTCGCTCGGATATAACAATATTTATGTAAAACTAAATTTGAAATAGTAATTCCAACATTTCGTTCAGAAATCTTGTCTGAACTTCTTCAGTGTAACAGTCAAAATCAAAATTATGAAAGAATATTTAACGCTTAAATACAGAATCAAATCTACACTAATTTCTTATTTAATCACATTCAAAGGTCAACATTAGTAAATAAGGCAGCATGAGTCAGTGAGATTTGAATCATGTGAAAAGTTCACAAAGTGAAAATAAATGTTTGTGTAACTTTGACTAATAATAGTTAATATCCGGTGAACTAATTCTAATCATTTGTTTATTAAAAGTAATAATAAAAGTGCATATTGAAAATGTTTCCAATACTTCGATGTGTATGCAAAATGGAAATCATCAAATACATAGATATCAATGCCAAGGTCAGACTTGATAATTACAAATAAATTGAGCATTGGGTAAAAAGTTAATAATAAATACATCTTTGTTATATCCCAATGGATAGAAAAATTGTATTTCTGATGTAAACCATTTCTTCAGTGCAAATAAATAACCGAATTCAGCTATTTATTTGCTCTAATGAAGTGGCTTACATTAAGTCACGAAACACCATAAATACAATTTTTATACCCATTGAGATATAACGAAATTATATTTATTATCATCAAATACATAGGTGTGATTTTCAAATATTCAAATTAATTTTGGTCGGAACTGTGCTTGATGTGACATAAATAGGGTGGATATACATAAGGTTCAGTTACTTATGAACGATAATTTGTCAACGGTGGGACTACTTGGATACCATCTCTCCTGTTCAAGATATTCTGATTATACAGTGCTTTTGCTGTCAATCTTTGTTCGTGCCAAACCCTTTCTGAAGTATTTTTTCGCTTCAAAATACTTATTTTATCGTAATCACTAAAGCCAGTTTCTAAAAATGACTGGATAAGCAATTAGTGTAGATTTGATTCTATATTTAAGCGTTAAATGTTCTTTCATAATTTTGATTTTAACTGTTACACTGAAGACGTTCAGACAAGATTTCTGAATGAAACGTTGGAATCATTTACATTGCGATTATTGAAATTATTTCAAATTTAATCTTGGGCAAATGCTGTTTTCCATGTACTCGGTGCTCGATTTCTGTCAAACTATTCGTTTAAATATTGACTAACATTTGTGTAACTTAAAATAAGAGAATTTCAGTGTGAATATTTAAAATCCCAGATATCTCAAAGAATATTTGAATAGACCTGTGCATATTGTCCTTCCACTTTATATGTATGTATTATAACGAGAAAAACCCTCTGTAACATTAATTATAATCATGGTATAAAAACGAGTATTTCTTCACGGGAACATGTACTTAACCGGTTCCAACTCATTATTTATCATTAATAGATGAATTAATTGTAATAATTTTGTTATTTTCATGCATGTTTAATAAACTTTTGAAGTGAACGATAAGTATTTCTTACATTTTAATTTATTTCTTTGTATTCTCCCTTAATATACATTTTCTTATTGCATACTTATATTTTTTTTCTGTTTACAGTTTCTATAAAGGTACTGTACCTAGACTAGGTCGTGTCTGTTTAGATGTTTGTATCAGTTTCATGATTTATGATTCATTTATGGAGAGTTTTCACAAAGTATGGGACACAAAGAAATCTTAAAATATTTTCATTTTTATGCATTTATACTATTCTTGGTTGTGATGAAATTCTTCTCATATATATATATATATATATACATTTGAATCTGATCAAAAAATATTTGAATAAAGAAGTAGATGGAGAAGATGAATACACTTGTTGTATCCAACTACTTATCTATGTATTTATCCATACACATATTTAAATCATTCCAAGCTTTATTTATATATTCCTCATATGGTTGTGCTAATCTTCTTTGGTTGTGCAATAATTCATACAAAAATCGGTGATATGTTATTATTCTTTCGAAATACATAGATTGTCGAATTTATTTCTGTTTATCTACAATCGATTATTGCATGTTTTTTTTATACAAGAAACAAACTTTACTCTTCCTTTCCATTTTTTTTTCTTGTTTGATTTATTCCTTTTCTAAATGAATTTTCTTTTCTTTTGAAAAGAAAAAACAATCTATTGTTCACTATTGAAAACTTCTACCAGTTTGATGATATCGATTTTTATGAGTTAACTTATTCGCACTTGGATCAAATATGATTGCAGTTTTTTAATCTCTTTCAATATTTATATCTATGCCATTATTTATTTATTTGTTTATTCACTAAATGGTTATTATTATTATTATTGATATTAGTATTTTTATTTATAAACTCTTCTAATCAATGTCAAATTACACCCAATAAATGTTTACTATATACATCTCATGTTAAACTTGTTTTATGTAAAGGGTTACTGTTAGATACCTTACTCACATTGTTTTCGTGTATTCACTTTCGTTTACTTGCACTGAGTCATTATGATGTGACAGGGAGTGCTGTTATTAATTTGATAGAATCTACTAAAATGATTGGAGTGACAATCATACTCACGGAGCCAATATCGAAACCCTAATCGAATAAATTTCAAATGACATAATGACTATCTAACTGATTGAGTGTATGGTTAAACATTTGATAAGTAGTGATCAATGTGATGTTAAACAAACAGTGGTTTTTGCATTATTGTATGATATGATTGCTTTGGTAGTTTGTTTACCTTCAAAATTCGGCTTACTGAAGCAAAATGTTTAGTGAGATGGGAATGAAATCTCTCGGAAAATGTGATTGTCTTCTAGTTCAAACTCTTTTCAACCATCTCTTACATCGGATTAATTAATTTTAGAGCAATTAATTGCATAACACTAGGGGCTAAAAACTTTATCGATTGTTGATCAAGCTTGATGACTGCTGTTATTCGTACTGACAACAATTAATGAGTGCGAATTGAATATTTCAGTTGATATTCTTAGCAAAATATTCAGACAGAAAATCGGTTGCAAATGCAATAATAATAGCACCATAAATTTATTAACATCAGATATTATTAGCTTTCTTAGCAACGGAAATGGTCAGGCATCAATAGAATAAATAGGACTTCTCAGTGGTTGGGAAGAAGATTCCAGAACAAAGCAGGTTGAAGATTCCTAGTCGGCTGCCTATGCCTTCATGGGGAGTAACAGGTGTAAGTAATTCATTGTTAATAAATGTTTGTAATTCCCAGTTGTTGGTCGTCAAACTGCGATCGACCAGTCTCTCTTGGCATAAGTGCATTTTGAGCGAAGTTATTTTTGGACTGAGCTGTGTAAGTAAGTGCACTTTATGTATGTCAAGTTCGCGTGATTATTATACCAATGGTTGGGGACATTGGGCATCTTGGCTCAAAATCGTACACAATGGTGTAGATTCATTCTCTGTTATCCCTTAGTTTCTGCTTTTCTTAATTATCTTAAAGTGTTTCCTATTTAAAAATATGTCTTCTTGAATCATATCAATTACGCATGATCTTTTCTATTAAGAGTAGTCCTGTTACTACTTACACTACTACTATTTGGAAGTGTTGATAACATAGTTTACTGTAAAGCAGTTAGTTCTTGTCATTAATTTAGATCCAATGAGGAGAAAAATTTCATCAGATTCTTTTAAACGTATTCCATTGATATCTCATATTTCTGATAAACAGTTGACTAATTCATTTTCTGTAGATACTAATGCAGCTAATTTTGATCTTCAGATGACATTAATAAGCCAAAATGCTGAAAACAGCCTGAATAGAAGCCTCATTAATGTGACGTCGATTGAATCCTATTTGTGATTAACAGACAATATGTTTGACAATTGGAGAAACTTCACTTACATTGTAAATAAGTGTTCTTATGTATGAAATTCATTCAGTTAAAACTGGAATTGTTAACATGAAGACATTTTAATGTCTTAGAATAAAGATGTGATTAAGATTTATACAAATAGATCAACACAGTTGATGCTCTTTGGAAAAACCTGTAGAAGGAATGAAATTATGTTAAGTTGCTAAAAGAAAGTAAACAAAAGATTTGAAATTAATAGTAAAATCATTAATTTAACAATTTATGTATGTTTAATACAGTGTTCCAATAACTATTTATTTTCAACAAACAATTACGGCATTATAGTTACAGATTATCATAAATGACCATATCCGGAGTGGAATTTGTGTCATAGCTACGCATTATGTAAGGAAGAAATCAGTATACATAAGGAAAAGCAAGAAATGTTTGGTGAAGATCATTAGTTATGTTCACGTTAGTTCGCTGATATTCAATATTCACTCAGTTGATCTCGACCAGAGATAACACATTACTATCTAGAATAGGTAGGGCTACAAAATGTTTACCTAATGAATGAAATCCCTTAATCATATCTCCATAGAAATTCATCTGACTGATTTATCGTATTGATTTTAACAACTTCATACCCTATAGTAAATGATATATTATAATGCATTATTCTAACACATTTTTGTACTATGATCGATCGCACACGTGTCATTCATTAAAATAAACAGATCAAGTGTGTAACAGAAGACATATGCAGGTAAAACACATAGTAATTAACATTAGATATTCGTCATAAAAATACTTATCAAGTTCGGACATACTCAATTACTTTATGAAATTTCAAGAGAATATTTAGAACATATTAGATGCTACTACCTTCAAAGCTTCGATGGATCAAAGACGATGAACCTGTGGATACATTTTACATTGTGTTTAGAGTGAAACTGTTGAAGCCTTGTTTTATGCCCTAGAGAGCGATTTCATTTACATTTTTTAGGATATCGTTATTTCATTACACGTTCTGCTGTTGACACCGAATTACAGTTTGTTGTTTTGTACATTATTTCTAGAAAACCTATTGGCATTTATTCTGTAGTGACTCACTTTTATCACGAGAACACGATTGGTTTCATGAAAACAGTTATTATTATAACCAACTGTACCAGTGCTTTTGTTTAACTGTGCTAAAAAGCATCCATTATTCTTACACTTTGATTGTGACTTCGCGCGAATTCGGTTACGTTCTGTAACCAAGCTTGTATCCTGGCACGACCTCCGTATCCTTTCGATACCACGAGATCGTCAGCAAATATATTTCGACTTGGTCCATTAACTGCCTTCTGATAGTTTGCTTCCGGGGGATTTTTTGGAGTCATTTGACACGTGTTTCTCTGTAGCGGTGTTCATAGTCAATTGGAACTCGACGCCACGCTACAGCTGATGAGCCGAATTCTGGAACACGCCGCAACCTCTGGTCGAATCTTCCAAAGAAGCTCGTTCGGTGAGTCTATTGTTTATCTATCCACGTCTGTCGTATATTTTCATATTATCTTTTAATATATAATATACTCAACATGACGGATAAACGATAAGAATAGTATTAATATAATAGACTCCCGTCTATGTGTACCGAATCCTTGTCACTTTTTATTCGCGTGACGGTAAATTCCACGCTTTATTCGGGAAATTTTCTTCTATTAATTATTCTCCTCGCTGGCCCGGCTGCTTGGTACGGAATGCATACGCATACGCATTACCGTCTACCACCCAGCACCAAATGGTTAAGTTGAACGGCTTCACTGCCAACTTAAAAGTGCTCGACGAACACACGAAAACGGCAACTCGTACGAAACCTTACCTCTCGTTCTCTTAGGCATCAGAACGACCTTGAACGTAGATATTCAATGTTCCGCCGCTGAACTTGTATACGGCACGACATTGCGTCTGCCCGAGGAATTCTTCACACCACGGAGCAGACCTGATTTCGGTAAATCAGACTACGTCCATCGACTGTCTGCATTTATGCGAACGCTGTCTCCGGTGTCAACTCGAATCCAACATCGACAGGTCGCTCTCCCTCGAGAGTTATCTACCTGTTCACATGTTTTCATACGAGTAGATTCGGTACGCAAACCCTGGCAACAGCCTTACGAAGGCCCTTTTCACGTGATCGCTCGTCACGAAAAGACCTTCAAGGTTGATCGACATGGCCGCGTCGAGATCGTCAGCGTTGATCGTCTCAAACTAGCACACGTCGATGACAGTGCCCTATCTGATAACTTGAGATTCAATGCTAGACCTATCAAACCTACTGGCGGGATCCTCAAACCATCTCCAGGTCCCACGCTAGATACATCTGAGACCTCATTCTCACGTCCCAGTCAACAGCACGTGTCATCTGCACCGTCTACGGACGAGACAACAGTCTCACGTCCAGATCAGCAGACCACACCGCCCTTGACTTCGGATGAGATTGCAGGCTCACGCGATGCGAACGAGACTGCCGTCTCACGTTCCGGTCGCCGAGTACAGTTACCCATACGCTTCCGCGAACAGTCGCACGGTCAACAAACGAGACGGTGTAGGATTATTCCTATACTACACGCATGCTACACGCTTCTCTTTTTCGATCTTCTTTTTGTTTCCTGAGCCCACGCCTTCGACCATCTCCGTTTGGTACTGTCGACTTCAGTCAACTTTGGCGAAAGCTGGATTGGCTACCCACGCTCTTGTCAACGCACTCAGTCGATATATTGGTTTCGAAGGCTCGGCATACGCTTGGTCTCGAACTTGGTCGTTACGGTCGCTTCTGGTCTTTTGGCTCAACGTTGTTTCGTCCTACGTCGGCAGCGTTTCTGGTCCGCATTCCCTACGAACGCAATCTTCAGATTCTGGATACAAACCAATCTGGTGTGACATGCCAACCCAAGCAAAACATACAGCACATCGCCCTTGGTACCGTTTTCCGAAAAAGAACTTCGTTGGCGACTCGACGATCAACGATCGCTTTCCTGTTCCGCCAATCCTTCCGTCCTACAATCGCTCGTCA